ATACTTTAAGACTTTCACTCAAGTAATATTTTTAGAGAAGACTTTAACTTTTACCAAAGTATTTTTATGATAAGATACTTGTACTTTTACTCAAGTAATATTTTTAGAGAAGACTTTAACTTTTACCAAAGTATTTTTATGATACTTGTACTTTTATTCAAGCATCACTTTGAAGTACTTTATACAACACTGACCATTAGGGAATACATTAAGCAAGTACTTTTACTTTTAATACTCTAAGTATTTTTAAAAGCAAGTACTTACTTACTTTTACTCAAGTAAAATGTTAATGTGGTACTTTTACTAGAGTACATTCTTGTCTGTTTATCTGTACTTTTACTTAAGTACAGTGTTTGAGTACTTCCTCCACCACTGCCTTTAACCTTATAAATAAATACTTAAAACAATCAGAATAAACTGCTGTAACCCACGTGATAAATTTTAGTTTTTAGGTTTACTTGGTAATAATAGTCGGTGCGCAGATAGATGCGCTTTTCCTGCATCGTGCGCGCTCCCGAGACAAGGCGCGCACACATCCATTCGGGGATGATTACCTGACGCTGTTCACCAGGTCAAAATACCTCATTAAAAGTCATTTTCATATTTATTAGACGTAATTAGCACTCTGTGAATTATATAAAAGTATTGTGTAACAATTTTAATCACTTACCAAACAAAACGCTTAAATTTACAAAGCAAAACAAGGTGATTTAGCACATTTTCGTCCACATCTTTGATAGTATGAAACATAACGAGCTATTATAACACTGTAGTATCGTTTCTGCTTGTTCTGTCTTTAAATGTAGCTAAAAACTTTTGAAACAACCTCATAAGTGGCTGATCAAACAGACGGAACACTGGCGCCCTCTGGTGGACAGTTAACGGCGCTACGGCTCAGCGAAATTAAAAAGTATTTTGCTTCCGTAGTCCCCAATTCCTCCATGGTTATTCCCATTACCACAGGTAGACTTAATGAGAGATTAAAAAAAGAAATCAGAACAATTATCAACATGCAGTATATTTCAGAAATATTGTGAGCAACATTTTCTTAATGATGCTATTGTTTTTTGTTTTTTTTTACTGATGGTTCTAAAGATCCTGAGATCGAGCAGGTTCAGCAGTTTATATTCCAACTAATGACATCTGTATTAAGAGGAGAATTTCAGATACACTACAGAACTTATAGCAATATTTTTTGCTCTACAATGGATAGAGGAAAATGGAAAACAAAACATAGTAATAGCCTCTGACAGTATTTCAGCACTCAGTAGTATTGCAAATGGTAAACCATCAAGCAGAACAGATATCGTTAATTAAATATATGTAACTATGTACAGAAAGATTCAATTCCTTTGGGTTCCAGCACATGTAGAAGGAAAGGAAGTTGCAGACGCTCTAGCAAAACAGGTTTAAAAAGGGAACTCAACAAGTCTCATTAAGTAAATCGGAAAATAAACCATTCATTAGGAACGTCCTGATGCATCTCAGTAATCCAGGTAAAAAATCAAAAAGAAAAAAATTGTATAGGTCTTCTGGACGGGTTCTTCTCTAATGAAACGTTTCGTCTCTCCTCCAAGAGACTTCTTCAGTCTGAGAGTTTCAGGCAAAATTCAGGCTTTTAAGCCCTGCCTCCATGTGACTGATACTCACATCACATGGCTATCGTTGACTCCTAATTAACACCTATTGTTAACAGGGGGTGGAGTGATACTGGCTATAGCAGCGCTGTAGCAGGGGGACAGCTGAAAACGGAGGCCTCCACCTCTGTTTAATGATGGACGGTCTTTCTTCACAAAAATGGCTTCTTTTACTCCTCTCTCAAACCAACGTTCCTCTCTATCAAGAATGAGAACATCCTCATCTCTGAAAGAGTGACCGCTGGCCTGTAAATGAGTGAAAACTGCAGAGTTCTGGCCATTAGATGTAGCTCGTCTGTGTTGGGACATTCTTTTGAACAGTGGCTGCTTTGTTTCCCCGATGTATAACTGGTCGCAGTCCTCCTGGCACTTAACAGCATATACAGCATTGCTCTGTTTGTACCGGGGCACCGGATCTTTGGGGTGAACCAGCCTTTGCCGTAATGTGTTTTAGGAAATACTCACAAACAGCATAGCAAGATTACTGGGATTTACAAGAAACTGGAGGACATTTATACAGCAGACAAAAACATGTAGGGATAGGAAGGAAAACAAGATGGAATAGGAAAGAAATGTCTTTACTCTGCTTAGAATAGGACACTCAGCTTTAAACAACACTTTATATAAAATAGGTAAACATCCAACAGGAACATGTTCATACTGTAATCAGTCAGAGACAGTGGATTGATTCGTTGTAACAAATATAGAAATCACAGAGATAATCTTTTAAGGTCATTAAGTAATGGAAAACAGCAGAACTTTACATTATCAATGCTTTTGGAGGATAAATCTGCCACCATATTCAGTAAAATAATTTTATTTTTGAAATCAACAAGTTTATTTAGCCGATTTTTTTTCCCTCTTCTTGCCTGCCTTCTCCAGTTCCACCACCCAGTCTGGTGGTGGCGGTAATGCACCAAAACAGTCAGCCAACCGCCRTTAAACCAAGAGAAGAAGAAGAACAAGGTCAAAGATGGCGGCGCGCGTTAAAGGATTCGATAAACTCAACCTTTCGCTGAGGTTATGTCGAAATGTGTTGCTTCAGAATGAACGTAAGTGTGTTGAACGTGTTTTGAAGCGTGTTATAATTATCTGCGCGCCAAAGCGTCTGTTTATTTAGCATTTACGTGCTAATGAAGCTAGCTCCACGGCTAGCACTCTGAGCTAATCGGTCACAGAGACGAAGAATAAAAACGTTTTATTTACAGGGTTCTTGTCGACGTCCGCGTGTCTTCGTGGGACCAGCGAACCTCCTAAATTCGTGCCTCCATCCAAACCCGTCATCATAGATAAGGAGCAGACCGTGGAGTCTCGGAGGAAGTAAAGACCTTTCTACTTTTCTACACGTGAACAAGCGTTAATGTCTAAGTCCAGCTTTAATTCTGATGTTTGGTTTCTTCCAGGTTTCTGAGCCCAGAGTTCATCCCTCCCAGACAGAGGACTCTTCCTTTTAAGTTTCGTCTAGAGAGGGCGGACATGGTCCGCAGGCGGAAAGTGCTGAAAATCCCCGAGTTTTACGTTGGTACGAAGCAGGGCTGCAGCTAACGATTATTTTAGTAATCGATTATTCTGGCTAACGATTATTTTAGTAATCGATTATTCTGNGCTAACGATTATTTTAGTAATCGATTATTCTGGCTAACGATTATTTTAGTAATCGATTATTCTGACCATTAATCGGGTAACCGGATATTTAAAAAAAATGTCATGTTTTGCAGTAATTATTTAAACTTTTTTATTAGAAATACAATCTAAAATTGTGAAGGGGTAATATACACCTGATGAAACTGCTGCAATCAAAGTAAAATTACACCAGTTGTATCAATTAATGCATTTTAAACTCCATTTGTTTGTATTTATGTACGTAAGGTTTGAGGAGGCATTAATTACGTCTGTCTCTGAATCATTTTTAACTTTCACTGAAAAATCAATGCTGTAAATTTATTCTTATGGAATGGATTTTTTTGTTAGAAATTTAATAAGCAAAATGGTTAATATTGAGTTTTGTAGAGTTCACTTGTTAATTGTAACAAAAAATATTTTAAGACTGTTATTAGGTTGGTGCAGGGCTCCCATTTAGGCAATAAAAGATTTAGTTTTGACTGCTTAGCTATAAACAAATATAACAGTAATGAAGGCTAAAATCATAARAAGCAGCAGCAAGTAATAAAAAAATCCATTTCTCTTCTGTACATACTTTAAACTTCAAATATTTACTCTAAGTATCATTTAAGATAAAAGCGTATCAACAAATAAAAGTGTTTCAGCTCAAGCTGTCGATCTGTTGCTGTGCTTTTATTTTTATCTGACAAACTTACAGTAAATACACAACTTACACACTGTTTAATAAAACSCYGCCAGGTCACCATGATTAGTCAGCACAAWTAACRTTAGTTTAAATATACCTCCTCCTTGTACATCTGGAACAGGACAGATTATCACAGATTTAGGTAAACAAACACCTGTTGTTAACCCCGGACACGTTCGTGTCATGCAGCAGCTGTTTTTGTTCCGGTGCAGAAACATCGAGGACGTGCAGAGCATTGCGCGTTGTCGCCTTTTCTGTTTAGTTTTAAATGTTCCCATGCTTTTTTATAATTTGTCGTTTCGGCACTCTTCGTCTTATTCCGAAGCTAAATATAGCTTTTAGCAAGCATACGCGCGTGACGCGTTGACAGTCCGAGGTCCTGTTTCTCGCCGGGCTGTTATTGTGCGACACCGAGAATGCGGACGATTAAAAAAAATAATAAAATGTCTGCGCGGTCCAGTCCGGCGGACGTCCACTTTAGCTGCAGCGAGGTGTACTTGTACCCGAGGCCAACCATATACTTGTGCTCGAGTCCGCTCAGACCGTGTGCGCTCGAGTATGTGGGAGCCTTAACTGTTAGCGGAAGCGCTAACATCGTAGCATTGTGTGTTACACGAATAACATTCTGGGCAGACGAAAGTGCGCCGATTACAACAGTGTGTATTTTTTACGAAGCTTCGAGGCAGATAAATTTGCCTCGAGGATTTTTTGTAAGCGAATTACTCAAATTATTCGAGGAATCGTTTCAGCCCTAGTACGAAGTAAAAGTTTGTTGTGTTTGCACTAGGGGTGTAAGAAAATATTGATACATTGAAATATCGCGGTATTTAATTTCCTGATACTGTATCAATATTCTAAAGCCCTGTATTAATTTTTTATTAAGGTTTAAAATGTCAACTTTCCTGCCAGCCGTTCATTTTTATGTTGTAGTTCAGCCTCTGACCACTAGCTGGCAGCAGTGAGCAGCCATTTGTTAAGTGTGGGTGACCATATTGTAAATTATTAAAAACTAAAAGCTGCAAAAATATATTTTCAAACTATTTATTGTCAAATTTAGTCTAATAATTGAAAACAT